ATGAAAGTTTAAGGGAAGCAGGGATTGTCATTCACTTGGTCATCTGCTGCCACTGTTCTGTAGCAGCAGCAGGCTTCTTTACGGTCAACTGATGATGTGCAAACGGAAAAGATTAGCTGTTGACGGGAATCGTATGTGCTCACAACTAAGTCTCGGTTACACGTTCAAGTCAAAAATTCGGTCTGTGACTATTAATCAAGCTGAAGTAGTTGAGTAGCTTGTTTTTAGAACTTTTTAATATGTGCAGACCGCTTTGAAGTTTAATTCTCCTAAATGTTGGAAAAACTTCTGAAACTGCAGCAGGTTTTTGCTGAAAACATGAATTAGCTTGAGAGCATAATGCATAACTTAAAAACCGATCGGCGCCTCTTAATCGGATTACCTTATTTCAACTGCTTATTCGTAGAGTAACGTTTACAGGGTTCTTCAAGAAACGAGTGCTCTGAATAAACCAAAACTGATCCGGAATTAAATTCGTTCGAAGATTCGCTTTTTTGGAGTTGGAACTGGTTTAGCAAAAAAGCATTTTATTTTTGCGGAATCTTCAGCGATAGGGCTGCCATTCCATGCCAAGTCGCACACGTTTGGCCCTCGACCTCTCAGATTTTTTTCATTTTTTGCCCTCTTGTAGCACTTGATACCGGATTTTGAAATTGAAGAAGATTACGTCAAAAACTGCGCTGGCAGCAAACTTAGGCCGTTTTGAAGTGCGAAAAAAAAAATGAAATTCACTTTTGACATGGTCACCTTCAATAACTTATATTTTTCTAAGTTCGCTACCAATTTCATTTCATTTTAACTCTTTTTGAAAATCTGTCCCGTGCAGATCTAGAAAAATGGCGAAACGCCTACATTAACAAGTCTTGTTTCGGATTAAAATAGAAACAAAAATTCAAAACGATCTCTCCCAAAAAGCGACATGGTAAACTTTTTAAAAAAGGAATATGTTTTAAAAAATAAATTTTGTACAAAATGTAAAAAAAAAAAAGGTGATATCTTTTCGGTATCAATAATTACAGTGCGATTATTGAGAGTAGACCGGGAAATATCCTTATTTGAAGCAACATTTTGGCGCTTTCAAAAGTGGCAGAGCCTCTATTTCAAGTAGAATTTTATTATTTGTAATAATATATATAATACTTGTAAAACTTTTCAACCCTACTCCTTCAGTAACAAAAAAAATTGCTATTTTTGTTCACAGCGTTTTCTAGTATAATGCAGTAAAATTTTTTACACGTTTGGCCGGTGAATGTACTTGAAGAGGCGGTGTTGGAAGTGCTCTTTGCCTTTCACATCCTTATGAAAATACTAAAATCACTATTAATTATTTTCATTTGTTCGAAGCCTATTTATAAAGATCATTCTGAGTTAGGATTTGAAGTGAAAGTGTCTTCCGACCAGTCCTTTCAATATGCTTCCAAGTCTGAAATTAATGCACTGCTGCAGCATTAGAAGAAAAACAATATTGGCAAACAAAAAACAGTATCAAGTGTAAAATATCTGGGTTAGAAGAGCTCAATAAGCAAACGAAGAGATACAGATCGAAAAAGTTATCATGATAGTAATTTCTTCTAAAAAAAATATTGTAAAATTATTTAAAAGTGAATGAATGTTATCTAATTTTTAGTTATTGAAATGGTAGAGTTGAAGGGTTTTACAAGAGTTATATATATTACTACAATTGATAACATTTTAGTTGGAACAGAGGTTCGAAAGCGCCAAAATACGGCTTTAATTAATAATGTTTCCCGTCTACTATCATTAATCGCACCGTAACTGTTGATACCGAAAAGATACCACCTTTTAATTTTTACATTTTTCACAAAAATTATTTCTTTAAACGTATTTCCTTTTTAAAAAGTTTAAAATGTCGCTTTTTGAAAGACTGTTTTGAATCTTCTTTTTCTATTTCAATCTGAGACAGAATTTGCTAATTTAAGCGCTTTGCCATTTTTCTGAATCAGCCGGAGAAAAATTTTCAAATAAAGTGAAGCTGAGGAAAATCTGTAGCGAACTGAAGAAAATATAAGTTCTTAAAGGTGGCTATGTCGCGGGTCAATTGCGTTTTTTTTCGCACTTTAAAACGGTCTAACTTTGCCGCCAGCGCATTTTTTCGAAGTAATCTCTTTCTATCTTAAAATCTGGTATCAAACGCTAAAAGTAAGCAAAAAATAAAAGAGATTAAAGAAGTACAGGGTCAGAAGTGTGCGACTTGACATGGAATACTCCACATATATCCTCCCCCACTATAAGAGGAAATCTGCAACCGTAAAGTTTGTCTTAATGTCGCTGACTAAGTTCTGTGTTTTCGACTGCTCCGTTTTCTTCAATTGGAATTTTGCCAGAATTAGATTTTTTGCGGGAGCATTCAAATATACGGATGTTTTGTTTATAGAAGAAAAGAATATTCGAACTTATTTTTTAGTTAACTGAGGGATTAATGCAGTGATTCCTGATTTTTTGTGTCGTAAATTCCTTCTTATAATAATGTTTACGTGGTTCAAATTATTCATTTATTTGTTTCGGATACAATTGCGTAAATATCTGTTTGGTTCTGACTACTCCTCTCATTTTTTTGATTTAAGTAGCTTGTAATTAACAAATCAAGTTCATATGACTGCAATAGTTTCATTTTCAACCCTTTTTAATTTCGTTTAAGAGCCCAAATTAACATAATACTATGCATTTTGCTTCTAGTCAAATTTTACAGAAAATACTATGGTTAATAGTGGTCTAAGGTTGCAGTTTTCCTGTAACTCTTTTCTTCGCATATTTTATTTTAAATGTCCTCAGCTCGCAACATTCACCGATGCTAATGGTAGCATCTTTCGTTGCATTTTCAGACTCTGTTTAGACTTAGATGTTAACCAGCACACATTGCTGCATAATAGATATTGGCCGATGTGCTTGCATACATGGTCGCTTCCAAGCAGCAGATTCTATGCTGCAATGCATTCTCTACCAGAGGGCTGTAGTACCTGCACTTGTTGGACAGATTTTAGCGTGTCCAGAAACGCCTCAAGAGCGAAGATTTGCTCAAAACTACAGTAAGGTACTGCTTTTTAGCTTTTTCCTTTTTGAGCATCTTATGGATATAATATTAGCATTGTTTTCAATTTTCTTAAAAGTTTTGATAAATCTAGTACAGAATGGCTGTGTGTAAGCGGTAATTTTTCCACTAGAAATAAAAAACTGAATTCAAAATTGTAAATAAGGAATCTACATCTTACTGAAGTGAGGATTGGTTTTAGAGGTTCAGTTTTAGCTTTTGTTAAAATTTAACTGCAAGGCTGAGATAAGTGACTTTGGAAAGAAGGGCGGGAAGGAGGTCGTTTTGCTGTTGGGGTATCCTAGTTTTCCAAAGTGATAAACGAAGATGTTTTTTTGCATACAGAAGATCTTATGGTAAG